CTACGAATTCTTTATTTTTTTTTTTAGATTAACGTGGGTGTCCGGGCCAGCTTGCGCGCACCACGACGGGCCCTGAAGTTAACGACCATGTAAGCCTCTAGTGGCCATCATATGAGTAACCAAGGACTCGAACTTGAGACCATAGAGGGAGCAAACCCTTTGATCCCAAGTTCTTACCACTTGATCACCACCTAGATGGTTACTACGAACTCTTTATTGATATTGATACGGATGGATTCTGTGGCCCATTGAATAGTAAGCATGAAATTTAATAAAAGAAAAACAAATAGGAGATTAACCGTATTTTTTTATTTTTAAAAATAAAAAATACTATTTTTATATAAAAAACATTTTAAAAAATATTGTACTATAATCATGCATCTTTTCTTTTTAATTATTTGATGATGCTCATTGAATTTTAAACCATGAAGTTCAAGTAAATGGACAATCCTTGACAGATTTTAAAAATTTTAAAAATTATGGCGCCTGTTTTGGTTTTCAAATTTTCAAAAATAAAAATATAAAATATGTTTGTTTGGATGCTTTTCTTCGTTGAAAAAAATAAAGCCAATAACTATTTGTTATAATTTTGATAGTTTTGACACTTGATTGTGGTTTTATATATATATATATATATATATATTGAAAAACAAAGGAGTTTTCTGATTATGTTTTAAACTTATTTGTTTGTTTGATTTAAACGGATTTAATACTAAAATATTTCTTAATCTATATATCATTTGAAATTTGGTATATAATATTATAATCCTAATTTTGTTTTTTATGCCTTTTATTCTATGCATATATTTTCATAAATCCATAAAGTTCTCATGTTTCGTACAACTCTAAATATATACAAAATTTTTTTATTTATTTTGGGTTCAAGGGAATTTTACATAATCTTAAGTAATTAATATACTTTCAATGATTTCAAATAATTATAGTTATTAAACCTAATTTAGAAATTGATCTAATCTAGAGCTCGAGTTTTAAATCATATAAGTTAATCTGGATCGATTGAAAAAATTAAAAATAATAATATTTAAGATTTTAATATTATATATAAAAAAATTAAGAAAAAATCCACACACATAGCTAATTCATATAGATGTAGGTTATAAAAAAAAAATATGTGAGGTTAAGTATTTATAAATTAATTTTTTGATTTTTTACAAAAATTATATTTCACTTAAGTTAATTAAAATTTTAAATTTTATTTATTTGAAACCTAATTAAAAACTTGACTTATCTAAATTTTTTGAGTGTTTTTGATATTATGGTAGCAATAGCGGTTTAAAATATTTTTCGTTTAAAAATATATTAAAATAAAAATTATTTATTTAAATAAATAATTTTGATATCAATACATCAAAATAATTTAAAAATATAAAATTTTTTATTTTAAATAAATAAATTTTTAAATTTTTTTAAAAAATATGATTTATATTGCATTTCCAAATACTCTAAAACCAACAGTTAAGCCTCGTAAGAATGCAAATAATTGAAAAGTCCATCCTTTTGGAAATGGTAAAAATAACCAATTGCGGTAAAATATATTTTGAAAGTCGGGTATAGTGTGATTAGTGAGAGCGCTGAAATAAAAAGAAGAAAAAAAAATTCTTTCACAAACTTCTTGGCAAACAGACTCTTGGAATTATATTTTGAAATTCCTCACTTGGTTCTACAGCCCTACACAATGAATATCCCTTCTCCAACATGAAAAATCTCAATGGCCTCATCCACAAACTTGTTGGATTGAAGTATATCAGAATGCATCTCAAAATAAGTCTGTTAAATAAACTTTTACTCATTTGTTCTCTACTTTCATATTCCACAAGCCTTTCAAAGCATCAATAGACCATCTGGTTATAAGTTTTCCACAAGCTGCTTTCTACAAAACCCATCCATACTCCCTGTATGAACACTGCCTAGAAAATCTCTTGGAACTCCGGACCATGTAAAAAACAGTATGCCTCAAGAACGACATTATTCCTGATGAACCATCATAGCCTAAAGGAAAAGATCCTGATGAAGAACTTGGCTATAATTTTTATGACCCTAAATATTATGTTCATCTCCATGACTTACAAAGGCAGTAAAAAAACAAAAAAACTCAAGCAAATAATTCTGGGCATGCCAACGCTTTTGGAACCACGAGCTAGAAATGCTTGAAGATGATGACTATGTGTTGGCCCTATAAGTACAAACTACTCAAGATCAGGATACCCTATCATATCAAAATCTCTCTCCAGATTATGAACCTATTGTCCGTTGATATTAGTATTGTACTAGCTTGTCATTTGTATTTTGTCGTTTGTATCATAAGGGTGTCTTATTAAGTGTGCTCTAATACTTTCTTATGTAATGAATGATGTAAGCGAAAGCCTAAAAAATTAGTATAAATCTTTGCTGTGTGTAATATTATAAGGCAGAACCTCAGGAGAGTAGTCTTCTAAGGTGAAGCCTTTTTAATAAAGAACTTGTTTCTCTAACTCTATTGATTAGTACTTAAAAGTGCATTTTTATCATGATTTTATATCATCATTTTGCACTTGAAGTATCAATAACTCCTTAACTAAAGCATGTTTTATAATAATATATCTAATAATATAAGATACCTTTAATTTATGGTAAATGTTCATTTTAAATGCAGGCCTATCACATAAATGAAAGGATTGATTGATGAATTTAAGAACTGAAATTGAAAGGATAAAGAGATGGCCAAACTTAGAAAAGAGATGTCGAAACCGGAACACTGTTCGGTAATTGGGTCATATCTGGAGCTATAGATCTTAGATTTAGGTCTACTTTATATGGATGAAAAGGTAAAACATAGGCCTACAACTTTCATATGGAGCCTAAGATCTAAAAAGGCCATTTTCAAGTCCAAATTGTTGCAACAACAAAGAAGCCTGAATCTGTCCTCCAGCCTGAGCACTGTACAGTAATTTGGCCATATCTGGAGTTCTAGAAGTCGAAATGAGCTGAATTGTTTATACAAGAAAGCTGAGACAATTGCCTACAACTTTCATGTTCGAGTGGCTCCAATTTTGACGTTATCAATGACGTTTTGGGCAGACAAGAGAAGATAAGGATTGTCACTAAGTCAAGAGTTAGTCACCCACTCATCAATTAGTCATCAAATCAATAGTTCCCAATTTTGGCCTATAAAAGGAGGCATTTGCCATGCATTTAGGCATCTTGGTTTCCAGATCAAGATCATGCTCTTGCTTTCTCTCTTTGTATTTTTTGTAATGTTTATGCTTTGCTTTCCTTAATATCAAGTTTATGCCTTTCAATTCCTTTCCTTTGCTTTGTTAACTCTTATCTTATTTATGTTCTTATTTTGTTTATCTATTTTTCTTTCTTTCATTATGTCTAGCTAAGTTAATTATGTCAAGGTGAAAAGGTTATACTAATGGTGTAAGAATAAGTATAATGTAAACTTAATATGGACTTTAATGTTTGATACTAACATGTTTTCTATTTGTTATCTTGTTCACTATTTAATACTTTGCTGGTTAAATAACTAATCTTGATTTATGTTGTATAACACTTGGTACAACAAATGCTTGGCACTTTCATAGTTCATACTGTATGGTATACCCGACACTTGAGCTATGAAAGGAACTTGATTTGTTGTTAACATAAGTTATAATCATGAATGCTTGACGAGATTTACAAGTACTAGCATTAATCGAATAAGATGACTAATGTAATCATGTTAACAATCTATAATCTAATTGGAACCTCCTTTATGTGTGGTTTCCGATTGAAAAATAAAAGTTTATACTATACTTGTTTGACATACCATTAGTGGAACCTCTAACCTTGATATTTGTAATTATCATTGTTTAATCGTTACATTAATATTTCATCTCAAAGTTCTCATCTTCTTCTTCTTCTTCTTCTTCTTCTCCTTCTTTTTCTTTATTATTGTTATTATTATTATTATTACTATTATTATTAGTATTACTACTATTATTATTATTGTTATTGTTATTGTTATTATTGTTATTACTATTATTATTGTTGTTGTTATTATTATTATTGTTGTTGTTATTATTATTATTGTTGTTGTATTATTGTATTTATAATTTGTACAATTAACCTCCCTGTGGTTCGACCCCGGTCTTGCTGGGTTATTTATTACTTCGACACTCCTGCACTTGGGAGAAGACAACAATCTTTTCGTCGTGTCATCTATGTTCTTCAAACTCTTTGCATTTAAAAACTAGAAGCCTTTGTTATCATCCAATAAGACATGACTCTCTAGTGAGTAGCTATTGAGTGTCTATAAAATTTGGTCTCGTTAAGCCACTCTGTCAGAGTATTTGTCTAACAATTGTGGTATCAGAGGCTCTGGTTTATGGGTGACTATGACCTCCTCTTCTTCTCCATCTTCACCTCCTCCCTCTCTTCTGGCTTCTTCTTCCTCCTTCCATCTTCCCCCTTCCCCTTTTATTCGCCAGTCTATATCTAATAAGCTTGCCTATCTCTATGAGGTTAATCTTTTAGATGATACACAAAAAAAATACTAAAACAGACCTTCCTCTCGTCAATCCTTATCATGCTTTTGCCAAAAAGTCTCCTTTTATTGTCCGCAGTATTAAAACTTTCATCAAACAGCCTTCTCGTATGGCAAAGGAATATATGTTCAAGCTTCCTCTTTTGATCAATATAAGATTCCTGCTACTTCTCGAGAACAATTTGTTACTCTTGAAATTCCATTTGAATTTCCAAGCTAGTGGATTTCTCAAGGATATATACACATTCATTTTGGTGCTATTCGTCTAGCCCTGTCTTACCATAGCTGAAAAGGCTTACTTGTTGCAGCAAGATTAACTTTTCTAGATACCCGATATTTAGAGTATCAACATGCATGCATTGGATCTCTTGAAACCATGCTTAATTGTGGCACAGTAGCTATTACTTTCTATCCCAACTTCAATATGGCTTTGGATGATCCTCAACTCCATCGCTTTTTGAATGTCCAACTACAAATCACTAGTGCTGATCAAGTTTTAGACACCTATCAAGCCACTCTTCATTATCAAATGGCTTATTGGGTCCAAAATTATACCTTTGATTTAGTACTCACTGTTACCAATAATGCCTTGCTCATCATTGTTGATACTAATCAAAGAGCCACCTGTACCCATGTTCCGCAACAAATCCTGAAAGAGGACTTACAAAAGTTACTTCTCTCTTCTTGGATTACCAATTATGAAAAATTACATCAAAAC